CAACGAAATAAAATTTGAGAGCTTTAATAACAAAGTTGTCTAGCTGGACAATATCAAAGTAAATAAATTTGATAAAATGTAGGATATAAGATCCTGCACTTTTCTTGTAGCTCAGTGTTAAAATGCATATATACTAGTATAGTGCTGAGGACACATTTCGTAACAGTACGACTCTATCGTCTGGTGCGTTGATATCAAGTATAAGAGTAATACTTGTATATACAAGTGTGTATGAGAATGTGTGTGTTCACAGTGTTCGTTATGTCTCGTTAATAATAATAATAATAATAATAATAATAATAATAATAATAATAATAATAATAATAATAATATTCATTTCTGCAAGTACTTGTACAAGGTACACAGGCCTAGATAACATCAATAATATAGAAAGCCCCTTTTAATGCAGAGCATTTCGGGCAAATTAGGTCAGTTTTGTCCCAGGATGCGACCCACACCAGTCGACTAACCCAGATACCTATTTTACTGATGGGGAACATAGACAACAGCTGTAAGGAAACACGCCCAATGTTTCTAGCCTCTCCCAAAATCGAACCCGGGCATAAACATCCCTTAATACAAAATCTAAGTCCAGCACAACCAAATCCCCAACTACAACGATGCGTAGATGCCACTACAAATTAGGTCAGAAGCTTTAGCCTGGGGCCAGGAACAATCGAGTGTCATGGCAACACAGCCTCTGCAAGACAAAAAAAAATTACTAAGTCTGAACAATGCTCTGTGAACAGAGTTACACAGAGAAACAAGAAGTATGTTTCTGCTCTCCCACGAAATGATGCTTTATCATAACAGAGTCCATATAAAGAACAAACAGCCAGAGAGACGAGAGACAAGAGAGATGCTTCTAAAGCAGGAAGCAAATCTGGAGAGGGAAGTAGGGAGGGCAGTCTCCCACCTCAGATGCGATCACGTGACTAATCGGTACTACTCCAGCGACGACAGGTAAACAAGCAAGCCGGTAGTTAGCAAGGCAGTCTGCGAGAGCAGACAGCTAGTTACAACTCTCCAACAGCGAACACAGTGAAGTGTAACTGTAACATTCTACCTACAGATGTAGCTAATAAATAAGTCAAATAATTATATAAAGCAAGATTTTTCCATTTTAGTTATTAATGAAAATATCGGCAAAAGATAATATATACATAAATATACATTATATACACTGGGTCCCATTCAGGGGGCGGAATACGAACTAAATAGGCTCTCCAAAAATGTTTAATTTGTTCACCTTTCTCACTATCCAAAAATACCAAGGAAGTGACAGCTAAAACTTCCCCAAAATCTTCACAATTACAGCACATATCGGTATGAAACTAGAGAAAAATACTGCAGAAGAATCAAGACTATTCACAAATGATGAAAGCAGTTATCCCCTGAGATCCCACAACACCGATTTTCTACATGGTAAACACAGACCCTAAGTTCTAAACAACGACAGAGTCCTTTATGATAATTCATTTAGTGTATAAGCAATGACAGCCCAAGAACCAGAAATCTGGAATATTGTACTGTCCTTCCCAAGTACATCTGCTGGTGGTGTCCCTGGTGGTGTCCCTGGTGGTGTCCCTGGTGGTGTCCCTGGTGGTGTCCCTGGTGGTGTCCCTGGTGGTGTCCCTGGTGGTGTCCCTGGTGGTGTCCCTGGGTTACGCTTGCAAATGCTAAATTCAGAAGCTAGAAATTTAAAAACATAAGAATAGAGAAGCACCGTGGCAGGCCTACTGGCTTATACTAGGTATGTACTGGATGAGTATACTCATCCAGGTTATTCCAAAAGTTACCCAAGAAGTTAGCTTATGTATCTCAGATAACACATGCGTAGTGTTTATATTAATATTTCGCTGTATATGTTTGCACATGGACAATTCCAAGACTGGAATACCATTATATCAAATAAAGAAACAATAAAACTTAAATAGTACATACGTTACTTGCTAAGCTATTTTTAAAGTCAAACATATACACTTATTAATATTAAAGAATTCTTAAGCAGATAACAACAGTATGACAGTCCAGGGATCGAACCCGTGATATTTTAGCCTAAATTCACAACACTCCAGATCACTGAACCATCAATGCTAAAAACATCAGGTAAATATTACAACTAGATATGTCACACCTGATGCGAGCACAAACATGGCAATGGTAAGGTCAAAACTAATTTCATCATTCTCAGTAGTCTAGAACGATGAGCAATTTGGCTGGTTTCCTATGGGCTGGTCCAAAATGTCACTGGTTCGACCCCCGGCCTGTCACCTTCTAACTTAAACAAGCATGGAAGTCTTAGAGTAACATTATTATTCCCTTTAGTAATGGCTGTAGAGGTAAAAGGAAAATAATGACTACACAACTTTCACAGTTCTGCAAAATGTCTTCTTATGGACGATGTGCAAGATGTTTGGCACATGACAAATTTAGAACTAAAATTCAAGGAAAAGTAAGAAGTATGATGTCTTGATCTACATTCCTGAAACCTTAACAAGAGTAATTTATAAATTATTTTGAAGCATTATAAGGAAGACACATGTGGAACAACTACAATATATACTAACTTCCTCACTGAACTTCATCATTGATTCAGAAATAGAAAATTATGCCTTATGATTATTATAAAGTTTTTATATGTTATTTGAGGTGAGTCAAAAAGAAAAACAATGGGAGCAGTTTATAAAAACTAACAAAAAAAATGCATGAAAGGTATAGAAAAATGAGAATTTTTTGGCAAATGTAAATTATTGCAATATCAATAAAAATCTAGATAATTATATAAGATGAAGTATCAAGACTGAAGAGAGTAATTAAGGATACAATAATAATAATAATAATAATAATAATAATAATAATAATAATAATAATAACAACAACAGCACAGCCAGAAACATCACCAGCAACAACGACAGCCATTACTACAAACATTACCAAAACCACAACAACAACAACAACAACAACAGCTGCTGCAACAGCAGCAACAACAACTAAAACAAGCACAATAATAATAATAATAATAATAATAATAATAATAATAATAATAATAATAATAATAATATAATAGTATAATAATAATAATAATATATAATAATAATAATAATAATAATAATAATAATAATAATAATAATAATAATTGCTTTACTACTACGACTATTACTACCGTTACTACTACTACTAACAATAATAATCTTTATTTTTACAAGTACACGTACAAGGTTTACTGACGTAGTTGACATCAATGACATACTACCATATAGAAAGCCCCTTATTTACAGAGCAACTCTGCCAAATTAGATAAATTTTGTCCCCAGGATACCTATTTCACTTATATGTGAACATGGACAGCAGGCGCCTTAAGGGAATGTGTCCTTATGTTTCCACCCGTACCGAAGATATATACCCCTCCACATGACCTGAGTGCGCTAGCTACGTGACACCTACTACTACTACTACTACTACTACTACTACTACTACTACTACTAATAATAATAATAATAATAATAATAATAATAATAATAATAATAACAATAATAATAATCTTTTCAAATAAGAACATATACATCTGATACAGATCTAGTTGGCTTTATTGTCGTACTTTCCAGAAAGCTCCTGGTTGTGCACAATAATTCAGACAGCCTAAGTTTAGTCCTCCAAGATAAAACCCACAACAGCTGGCTAACGCCTAGGTACCTACTTACTGCTAGGTCAACAGGGGCCAGAAGGTGTAAGAAAACATGCCCAATGTTTCAGCCATGCTATGGACTGATCCCGGGCCCTCACTTTGTGAGCTGAGAACCCTACCAACCAAGCCGCGAGCGCCACCACCACTTTCAAGACAATCAATACCTCGTTCCATGCTGTCCCTGGTATATATAAACTGATTATATAAATTATCTCTTAAATTTCCCTCTCACTCATTCTTTCGAGGTTCTCTCACTCTCTCTCTCTCTCTCTCTCTCTCTCTCTCTCTCTCTCTCTCTCTCTCTCTCTCTCTCTCTCTCTCTCTATCTATCTATCTATCTATCTATCTATCTATCTATCTATCTCCCATTTTTCCCTGCGCTATTTAGCCATCTTTCAACCGTACTGGTTTAGATCTTTAATTAAACAAAGAATGAGAGTTGCAGGAATCTTGGACAGACTTCACAAGAGGACGGAGAATTTTTGATGTGATCTTAACACACGCAAAAGAAAGTTCTGGCTCTCATAGACTGGGAAAAATACTTCGGAGTTACCATTTTACTATCAGAAATATTTAAAGACAAACACTTAGGAATAACCAGTGTTGTAATTCTGTCTCCTTATTGTAAACATGAGAATGGTATTCAGGATCCTAGACAAGACTTATTTAAAACACTCTTCTTATGTGTGAGTTATTTTAAAGAAAGTGCGTAGGAGTACATCATGATTAACGTTTGACCTAACTGGACTGGGTGAGAACTAGGAATTATGTTACTGGAAGAGTGAAGACTTGGTAGTAGGCATGAAATAAAGGACATTTTTTAAACTTAAATTTAAAAATTAGTTATAATGACACATTAAAAGGTAACATTTAGGAAAGTCTGTAAAATCGAAATTCATGGTTATTTCACGTGAGTTGGTTTTGAAAAGAGAGTGAACCTCTCCAACTCCATGCAAATACAGAGATATTTATAAATTTTTAATATCCCCAGTGACATCAGCACTCGCAGAAATATGAATAAATAGTACGAATGCATAGGCATACTCACAATAAGGAAAAGTATCCGTAATACGGCACTCAAAGCTGGAGATTAATTAACAGGAGAGTAGAAATAAGCGAAGCGAATAATATTAACTTTAGCGATAGAACATATGCAACTCCTCACAGATTATTTAACAAATAAAACAGAAACAGCTATAAAATACAGGAAAGAGAGGATGGAGTAGCAACAATAAGGTAATGAGGAAGTAATGAAGAAGACTTGTGACAGCAAAGTTAAAACACCTTACAACAAGAAATAATTTATGCTCACGTTTTCCCTCAGTGACGATAAGAACACTAACACAAGCGTCAAAGTGTTATATTGCTGACACTGTCCTTCAGCTAAGGTACACAGAAGGTGTGCAGTAATAGAGATGTGTTAACGTCAGTTCCTGTATCTATACTAACATAAGATGTGGTTACAGCAGCAGTGTCAGAGACGCAATTACTAAGATCTTCCGCATGATTCATGTAACGATGATGTGCAAACCTTTTCCTAAACATAACTAATGATGATGATGCAAGTCGAATATTACCTGAACCAACTTAAGGGTTAAATGTTTTCCTCCAGTGTGCCTGATCTCTTCCCCTCCCTCCCTCCCACTCTCTCTCTCTCTCTCTCTCTCTCTCTCTCTCTCTCTCTCTCTCTCTCTCTCTCTCTCTCTCTCTCTCTCCTCTCTCTCTCTCTCTCTCTCTCTCTCTCTCTCTCTCTCTCTCTCTCTCTCTCTCTCACGATTATATGATAGCAACTTTGTTGACCCAACTCGCGAAATCGTAATGACACGATTGCAAACAAACTATAAACTGGGCAGTGTAAACTGGGCGTTTACACTGCAAACTGAACTGTATGCCATCCTAATGGCACTAAAGCTAACTTATGACACTGAGCTTGACTCTGTCATCACTACTGATTCTACGTTATCACTGACGGCTCGTGCCTCAAATAAGGACTCTGACAACAGGTTCAATGGAGAGGCCAAGTATAGATACTGAAAAATCTGAGAAAAATAATTAATGTATAATTGCTATAGATCCCATCACACATTGGATTACTCCTTCAGGATAAAGTTGATATGTTAGCCTAAAAAAGTACCCTAAAGGAAAAATGTAGAATATAACTTTGGTATATCTGTTTACCTGGAGTTTACCTGGAGAGAGTTCCGGGGGTCAACGCCCCCGCGGCCCGGTCTGTGACCAGGCCTCCTGGTGGATCAGAGCCTGATCAACCAGGCTGTTGCTGCTGGCTGCACGCAAACCTGTGTCTAACATTAGGAATAATATTAGGAGAGAAATAAATAATTAAACTGGTTGTTATAGGAATGCAATTAGAAGACTGAGTAGATCTATAACCTACACTAACATGAACGTAGATAAGAACGTTTATAGAGCAACTTCCAATGTAAACAGACTGACTGATGTCGTAGTGGCCAGGCTTAGGTTTGGTTACAAGTATTTCTGGCAGTTTAGAAGACACGCAGATGATGATCAATCGCTGGTAAACCGGACAATCCACAAGAAAGTGGCAAACCGAAATAGGACCCGACAAACCTCACAGAGGGAAATAGGGTGTCACCCCATGAGATACCCATAAGTAAGACGGGTATGGCCAATGCGGAGATGGGAGAGCGCAGTCTCTTGAGTAGGGCAACGGTGGTAAGATGACCATAAACCCATATAATGTAATTTGTTATGGTGCATATCCTACCACCGTTGTTGCCAATGGTTGCGAAAACGGGTAAATGATCTAGATTCCACGGCAAACTACACCTCCCCCGAGGGACCTTATGAAGTTGGAGGATGCCTGGTACACTTTCCCCTGCCTAGGAACCGTAATGTCATAGGGAAGACCCCAGAGCGTACAAACGTGATGGGGAGAAAGGGAGAGATGTGAAGGGGAGGAGGAATGGGATGGGAGGGATTGGGAGGACGGGACTGGGGAAGGGGACTGGGGGACTCAGGTTCGGTTGGAGGAAGAAGACCAAAGTGTCTAATTCCTCAGACCTAGAGCCTCTTCTCCACTACAAGGAGCCCCTCGCAAGGAGGTAATCTGGCATAACATCTGTTTGTCGTGGTTTATTGTATAGAATAACTAATGGTTTACTTAATTTCTCTTTACATTCCTTTAGAATTCTTGAAAACAGTTCGTTAAACTACCTCTAGGAAGTCTTTAGACTCTAAATTCCCAGTCTAGGAATTCCAATCAATATGACTAAGTTAAAATCCTATAGATTTACTACAGTATCGTGCCTTGCTGCCTTAACAATTTCTTTTCAAATAAGTCTCCCTTGGTCCCTATCCAAGTTGATGGCAATGAGTGTGCCTCAAGGAAGACTCGCGAGGTGCTTTCAGCTAGGCTGGTAGAGATGATCTTTGCCATAGAGCGTCATTACTTCACTACGTGGTAGTTGCAGACATGACTGGGGCCAGCTAGGCGAGCATAGGTCTCTGTACAAAGGTGCTCAGTCAACTCACGCATCCGACGCCTAGGTTGGTTGATTACATATCGAGGGCCAGTGGACAAGTGGACAGGATATAACCTATGATTCTAAGGAATTCGTTACTTTAGTATAGTTACAGACCATACTGTGGAAAAAAAAAACAGGAAACTCCTAGCACAGCTACATATAACAGACTAAATCAAGAGGAGGAGATACATAATATTCACATAGTTATCATGGTTTCTACTCAGTTTCCACAATAAAATGATGCTTATCTGTGCATTATGAGCACAAAGGCACTTGAGAACATATTTGGGCATAGGAAAAATGACTTGAAAAACAATTTACCTTAAAAAGATATTCATGTGACATACGGGTTACTTGGTCGAACACATTTTCTACTATAATTCTCCACAGAGATTATAGTAACATTAAAACTGTTCACCAAAATAGCCAGTGCAACACTGGTATGTACTGACAGAACGATTATGTGCGGTGAAACTTAAAGTAATGACGCAAATGTTAGCATTGCAGATGGAAAAGAACCTGCGTCCGCGGTGTTGGCTTAGTAGACTGATTTGGAGCTTGACTTACGGGCTAGGCACCTGTAATCTACAGGACTGCGTATATTAGTGGTGTCATGGTTTGACGTCCTGACGTAGGGTGTGGCATAGAAGACTCGATTTGAACCTGGCTAAGAGGCTAAGCACTTTCAAGATCACAGGATGAAAGAGTCACTGATGAACAGAAATTAAAGTCGAAAGAGGCTGAATAGAGAATAGGGAGTGTGGCTGTAGATGTTGTGTGTCAATGTGTAAGATACACATACTTTGGCAAGGTAAGTCCAAGGCTTTGTCATCCACAGGCCTTTATCTGTGACTTGGCATCTTATGGCATCTCGTGAACGTGATGTTGGACGTTCTTATGCGAGTGGGTCACAGAAAAGAAAGAAGAAAATTCTAGAAGAACAGAAAAAGAAAGATGTAGGAAGCTGCAGAAAGATCACAGACATATGCTCACGAAAACAGTTTCTGATGTTACCAGTACAGTTGAATCTGCAGATACGTCAGATCATACAGGAAGCCCTCCCACCATTATTTCTCAGCCAGCATCTGCTTCTTTTGTGTCTCCTCTCAATATCTCAACGGACATTTCATCCACAGGATTTGTCTTAAAAGATTCCTGCCTTCATGGCCAAATGTAATCCCAGATTCTCTACGTAATGCTTTCATTACAGAAAACTTCAGTCAAACTCTGAACATTGACTTTAGGAAATCAGCAAGGATTTATGATGATGGAAGTCGTCGTTGTTTAAAGTCATCTATGTTTTATAGGAAGCTTGCAAATTCAGAAAATGTGAAAAGATCATGAATGGTATACTTTGAAAGCTCAGGAAAAGTGTACTGTTCAGCATGCAAGCTATTTTCTACCAAAGAAAATACCTTCACACAGGGGTTCAAGTTCAATGACTGGAAAAATTCCAAGTGTTTCGAGGAACATGAAAACAGCACCACTCACAGGAGCTGCATTTTAGCCAGTGTATTTCGTGCACAGAAAAAAAGGCTTATTGGATTCTCATTTGGAAAAATCAAACTGAAAAAGAGCGCACTTATTGGAGAAAAGTTCTAGAAAGAGTTGTTGCTGTTGTAAAATTCTTAGCTCTAAGAGGACTTGCTTTCCGTGGAGAAAATGAGGTTTTTGGTTCGGAAAACAATGGCAGTTTCCTAGGGATCAGAGAACTGTTAGCACAATTCGATCCATTCTTAGCAAATCATGTGTCACGCTTTGGGAATGCAGGAAGAGGCACTGTATCTTACATGTCATCTACTATATACAATGAATTTATTGAACTGATGACTAAGAAGGTCCTCAATGACATCATAGCAGCTGTGAAAACTGCAAAATACTTTGCAGTAAGTGTAGATTCAACACCAGATATTTCACAACAGATCAGTTGACATTCATTGTTCGCTTTGTCGACTCCAGTGGTAAGCCTGTAGAGCGCTTTATAAAATTCATTCCTCTTTAGGCCATGATGGAGAAACAATGATGAATATAGTACTGGATACTCTGCTTGAACATGATCTCTCTATTATGGACTGCCGTCGCCAGAGCTACGACAATGCAAGTAACATGTCGGGTAAATATAATGGATTGCAAGCCCGTATCAAGCAAATCAACCCACTTGCTGAATATGTGCCCTGCTCAGCACATTCTCTTAATCTTGTTGGGTCATGTGCTGCGGAGTGTTGTGTCGCTGCAGTTTCATTTTTTGGACTTTTACAAGCACTCTTTAATTTTTTCTCTGCTTCAACGCATCGGTGGAGTATACTCAAGTCAACCATTCATGGAGATGTCATCAAATCATTATCAACAACAAGGTGGTCAGCGCAGCATGATGCAACACATGCTTTGAAAGACAGCTTTGCTGAAATAAGTTCTGCTTTGATCCAAATAGCAGAGGATGAAGACCAGACAGCAACTACAAGAAGCGAAGCAGCCAGCTTAGCATCAAAATTGTAAGATTTTGAATTGGCCTTACTCTGTGTGCTTTGGGACTGTATACTGGAACGGTTATATGCCACGAACAAGACACTTCAGGAAATTTAAATTGAAATGGCTACTTGTGCTAACCTCTATGCAGGCTTAGTGGAATTTGTAAGCTCACTTCGCAATGATGAAGCTTTTGAAATGTTTGAAGAGAGAAAGCTAAACTGCTGGTGAAAGACTACAGTTACCGGGCTGATCATCAGCGGTCAAGGAAGAGGAAACGCAATTTTGAAGAGCCAGACAATGAAATTGTGTTGCTACCCAGGCAGAAATGTAAGACAGCTACATACTTCGTCATTCTGGATTCACTGATTACAGAATTGGTGAAAAGAAAAGAAATCTACCAGAATCTCAATGGACAAGTTTGGATTTCTGTCAAAATTACTACTATGCCAGATGCAGAATTGAGAGAAGCTGCA